TATCTATCCTGTCTGAAATTTGGCCTCCTGCCTCACGCCTGAATGAAAGCTAATTGGCTTGGCTGGCACCCCTTACATCTTGTTCTCAAGCTGCGCCAACAGGGCAAGTACATATCTGGAACACAATCGGCAAACATTCTGAAGTTAAAGCTATTACTGATTGTTGTGAATGTGCATTTCTGTATGTATGTATGTATATGTGTGTGTGTGCATTATGTACATGTGACTAAGCACCCGGTTGGAAAATGTTTGTGTTACTGTGGCCACAGAGCAGCTTTGTTAGCGTGTTCATTTCAGCTCTGCAGCAAGGGACACACCTGCTTATTAACCGGAACAAAAATGCAGTTGTGTTACGTTACTGCTGCTGCAATGCTTTGCACAGACCAACCATTAAATCTTAGCTGAGCTGAAAAATCAGAAAGTGAATTATTTATTAATTGTTTGAATGATCTCCTGACCATTTTTAATAGAATGTCAATAAACATGGTCCTGTGATGGACTTGCGACCTGTCCAGGGTGTACCCCGCCCCTCGCACTGTGACTATTGGATATGGGCACCAGTGACCCACGCAACCCTGAAAAGTAAGAAGCGTGTACAGAAAATGGATGGATGGATAATAATAATAATAGGCAGCATGGTTGCTCTGTTAGCTGTTGCATAACTGCTAGATCAAAACCTGAACCTTTCTAGGTTTCATGTTGAATCTTCACTTTGTCCCAGTCTCCCATGTTGTGCTGCACGTTGGTAACAGTGGAAATGAAAAAGAGGAAAAACTCCTTTATTGCTGTTATAAATAAGTCATGGTCAAAATGAATTGGCCTTTTTTGGCCAATTCATTTTGACCATGACTAATGAGAGAGACCACACTGATTTGTCATCTAAACACACAACATGTGAAACTTTACAAGACCGGGCTGATTTATGGAAGAAAACAATTTTTATTACTGATAATAAACTTGACAATGCTCAAAGCTGCTTGAGTCAGTTATTTTTTACTTTCAGCTTCACTGAAAATGTTTTATCACACATTTTTAATCTATAATAGCCTAATCTATAATTCAAACAGAAATAACCCCATCGTTAACTGTTTATTTTATACACATTTATTTTAGAAAGGTAACAACAAGCATGACTATGAACCTAAAGTTTCATTAAACTCTGGATGAGAGCAGTCCTGAACATGAACGATCACGTCAGCGCGATTGGCACGCAGCAGCGGGGAGTGACGTCACCAGCCGGACGCTCCTTTTATGGTCATCAAAGCTCTTTCTGTCGGAGATTTAACSAGCGGCGGAGGACTGACTGGCTCACCGAGGTTCTCTTTACTTCAGTGGGAGTCCACAGACGGAGTGAYTGCCTTTTACCTGGACCCGTCCTGTACTGCTTAGGAACCGAACCTGACGGGATGTTCCAGTCAGCGTGCCTGTTTGTAGTCCTGCTGCTGTCCCGCTGTGTGTCCGGTGAGTCCATCACGTCCAGGTTTAGTTCTTCTGAGGACTTCTGTTTTAGAGGACAAGTTCTCCTTTGGCTCCGGGTCCTTCCTGTGCAGACCTGCTGCTTCCCTGCTGCGAAACTTTACCATCAGGTTTAAATTAACAGTAGGAACTGTGCAGTTTCAGATTAAATATTTGTCAACATAATAAAGTCCAGCAG